CCCAAAGGAATTGCAGGAATACTGAAACACCAAATAGAATTGGTGGAATGCTGAAATCCCAAAGGAATTATTGGAATGCTGAAACCCCAAAGGAATTGTTGGAATGCTGGAACCCCAAAGGAATTGTTGGGATACCATCTCCAGCTGTGCCTGCTCTGTGTCACCCACATCTGGAGCAGGAATTCTGCCTGCCCTGGAGCTGCCTCACACCCCCCGAACCTCCAGCCCAGCCTGGAATTAGGAACAATCCCAGGGATAATGGCAAATATTTACAAAACCCATTAAAGACAAAACCCCACCGTGTTAATTCCCAGCAGGGCTCTCTGCTTTATCCTCGCAGCTGAGGGACTGGAGGGCGTCAGGAGGAAAATATTTTTAATTTTAAATTTTTTTTAATTATTTTTAGCAGCCCTCAGCCTCTTTGAAACCTTTCCTGGAGGAGTAATGAACCATGCCCTGGCCGTGGGGTTGGGATTCAGGTGTGAGGGGCTGGATATTATTCCCTGGATGAGTTTCCTTGTTATTATAGGGGTTTTTTTGTTTTTTTAATTTTTTTTTAAGTGTCTGGCCACAAAATCAAGCTTTGATCACATCCATGTGCTGATAACGAACCCAGATGGGGCAGGGGCAGTGGGATTGTGGCTCTAATGTGGGAGCTGCCTTTCATTCTGGGGGCTTTCAGAAGCCCCAGGAGTGGCCCAGCTAACGAGTCCAGCTGTCCCCAAAAGTCTCTTCAGCCCCGGTGTCCCCAGGGACACGTGCAGGGGTGGCAGCAGGGCTTTGGCAAAGGTTGAGGTGTCACAGGGAAATGGCCATTACGGATCTGGCAGTGTCTTCTTTCAGATGGTAATTCCCTTTTTTTTTTCCCTCCCTTTTATTATTATTCTTTTTTTTAAATCATTCCAGTAGCTTTGTGTTCCCTTTAAATCACGAGGGTTTATTCTAAAATCCAGATACTGGCAGGAATTTTAATGTTGTTGAGGAAAATAAGTGGGGAAAACTCTATAAAAACCACAACGCTTTTAACATCCACTCGTGGGGTTTTTTGTTTTTTTTTTTCCCAAATGCTGAGTTACAAAAAGGAATTGAAATGAGCTGGATGGAGGCCAGGTTTGATTCCTCCTGGTGTGGTTTGTGTCCAACCCAGGAGGGTTCACATGAGGATTCCTGGTAAAATTCCTGCTCCTGGGAAGCTGCAGGAGATCACTTGATCCCACCACGGCTCTGCTGGAAACACCAGCCCGGTGGAAAAGGAAAAATCTGATTATCCACACAAAAAGAAAGGAAAAATCTGATTATCCACACAAAAAGGAAAGGAATTGCTTTGGTCTTCTGTGTTGTTACATGAGCAAGGGAGGATTTTCTTCTCTTTTTTTATTCCTGGTGACTTTTTTTTTTTTTTTAATTAATAGTGACTTTAATCCCCCACCACATTTCCCGGCCTATTTTGGGCTTGACTTAAATCTCAAACCACATCAGGCTCTGCTCAGGTGAGACCTCACCTGCACAGCTGCCCTGGGGACAGCAGCAGCAGCACCTGGAGCAAATCCAGAGGAATCCATGGAGCTGCTCCAGGGCTGGGAGAGCTGGGAATGTTCCCCTGGAGAAGGGAAGGATCCAGGGAGAGCTTCCAGAACATTCCAGGGAATAAAGGGGCTCCAGGAGAGCTGGAGAGGGACTGGGGACAAGGGACAGAGGGACAGGACACAGGGAATGGCTTCAGGATGGGAAAGGGGAGATTGGGGAATTGGGAATTCCTGGCTGGGCTGGGATTCCCAGCCATTTTTCCCACTTCTAGCAAGGAGCTGTTGTACCTCCTATAATTTTTTTCTATAATTTTTTGATAAGATATAATAAACATCCAAGCCCAAACACGAGAATTGTCTAATAATTGTTTCTAATAATCCTGGCTCAGAGGGAGGACAGAGACTGATGACAAAGCACTGGTGAGTGGTGCCAGGCCCAGCACACAGCCCCACCTCTCATGACTCTTATTACAATTAAACAATAATTATATTCAGTTACCAAACAATGCTTGCATTTAACAACCATTTCATTTATCACAGGTGTAGCCTCACATGACCTAGGAATAAACAAATCTCAATATTCATTCCCAGGGCCCAGTTCCCTTTCCCAGCCCCACCACACCCAACCTTCCTTTCCACCCCCCTGGATCTATTGGATGCAATTCGGATTTTTTTAGAAACATTTTAACCCTGTGCTCTCACTCACACCCGGGCTTTTGTCCCCTCCCCAGAGCACGGTGATCGTGGAGAAGACAGTGCAGGACCTGATGAACCTGATGCACGACCTGAGTGCCTACTCTGACCAGTTCCTGCACATGGTGTGTGTGAAGCTGCAGGAGTACAAGGACACCTGCACCCTGGCCTACAGGTACTGTGAGCTTTGGGGCCTCCTGCTGCTCCTGAGGCACCCACACTGTCGGGTGGTTTTCTTTCAAAAAGCCCAGCAGCTCATTGTTGCTTGGAAGGTGTTTGTTGCAGAAGGAATAAACAGCCTCGAAGGGAAAAAACAGAGCAAGGCAGTGGCAAAATGCACGTGGCAAAAAGCAATAGCAAAATGCACGTGGCAAAATACAGTGACAAAATGCAGTGGCATAATGCAATGGCAAAATGCACGTGGCAAAATGCAATGACAAAATGCAAATGGCAAAATGCACGTGGCAAAATGCAGTGACATAAAGCAATGGCAAAATGCAAATGGAAAAATGCACATGGCATAATGCAATGGAAAAATGCACATGGCATAATGCAATGGCAAAATGCAATGGTATAAAGCAATGGCAAAATGCAAATGGAAAAATGCAATGGCAAAATGCAATGGCATAAAGCCATGGCACAGAGCCCCAGCTCTCCCTCATGCATGTTCTTTTATAAAAACTTTCCAGCTAGCTAAGACACAAACTCAAACCACCACTCCTTAACCTGTTAAAATTCTGGTTTGTTAGCATGCCAGGCTATGTATAAACTACATTCATGGCTTATCTTGTTCTAACTGAAAAATGTCAGCAATATTCTTAACTCTGTTATGTCTGAAGCTGGGCTCTTGGAGCCTCCAAGGAAACACCAGTGTGTTTTTCAACCTTCACTAGAACATGTGTGCTACTTCTCAGGCATCTAAGACCTTTTATTTACTAAAAGCTCTTAAAAATTATTCTATTTACTTACTTACTCACTCCATCTATTCACTTACTCATTCCATCACCTCACTTCTCACTCATGCTAAAACCTAAACTTTCACCTCTGCCTTATGTGTGAGTGGACTCACACACTTCAATCCATCCAAAGGTTTTAATTCAATCCTTGCACTCTGTTTTTTCTCTGAAGAATTCAGAGAAGCTCCTGCCTTACTGACTCCAACAGGTACAGCCCCAAAAACACAGCCCAGGGCGGGGAATTGCAGCTCTTTCTGCTCTGAGGGGCTCAGGAGTTGCTTCCTAAATCATCTCTGCTGGGGTGGTCAAAGGTGTTTCCACCTCTGGGTAAAAAAGCTGGGATAATGGTCAGGGGAATTGTTCTTCTTTATGGGGTAAATTGTGGAGTTGTGGTTTCCCAGTGGATTTCTCCACATCACGGCGTGGTTTAGGGTCTGAGATGTGGATGGCAGTGGTGGTAGAGCTTAGAAATTACTCCAGTTCTTCCCTCAGTCAGGCAGGGTGAGACCTGCCAGGACCTAAAGGGGCTCCAGGAGAGCTGGAGAGGGACAGGACACAGGGAATGGCTTCCAGTGCCAGAGGGCAGGGATGGATGGGATCTTGGGAATGAGGAATTGCTGGCTGGGCTGGGATTGCCAGAGAATCCCTGGAATGTCCAAGGCCAGGCTGGACATTGGGGTTTGGAGCACCCTGGGACGGTGGGAGGTGTCCCTGCCATGGGGTGGGAACTGGATTGTCCCTTCCAACCCAAACCATTCCAGAATTCCATGATAAAAGGTGATCTCGAGTCACTGAGAGTCTCAAGTGTCATCTTTAAAAATAAATGTCTGAATGTGCCTTTTGCTCTCTGGTAAAGTCACTCAGATTGTCCATTTGAACATTTGCAAGGAATTCAGCTTTATTTGAATTAATTCTGTTGAGATTTGGGTGCTCAGGTCTCACGGCAATTTAGGAATTTCAGGAGGAGAGGAAATGGGCATAAGTTGCACCAGGAGAGATTTTAGATTGGATATCAGGAAAAATTTCTTCCCTGAAAGGTTGGTCAGGCACTGGAAGGAGCTGCCCAGGGCAGGGTGGAGTCCCCATCCCTGGGGAGGCTGCAAAGCCTCTGGATGTGACACCAGAGTGGCCCTGGCAGTGCTGGGAATGGCTGGATTCAATCCTAGAAAGTCTTTTCCAACCTCAGTGGTTCAGGGATTTTAGGAATCAGTAACCACATGAATCCACAGCCACTGGGTTGAGTGAAAGTTGCCATAAAGTGACAGGGATGTCACTTTAAATGCTCCATTTAAATGTCAGTTTAAATAAATGCTCTGTCCTTGTTCCACTGGCATTTTGGGATGATCCATCCCTAACATTCCCCAGCCAAAGCATGGAAGATCAAAGCACCACAATCCCACTGGCCATGGACGTGGCTGGGTTTAACCCTTCAAGTACCGGATTTAGCAGAGATTCCCTGGGTAAATATCAATAAATAACTTCTAAGGACATCCCAAATATCAATAAATAATTTCTAAGGACATCCCAAATATCAATAAATAACTTCTAAGGACATCCCAAATATCAATAAATAACTTCTAAGGACATCCCAAATATCAGGAAATAACTTCTAGGCACATCCCAGTTATCCACCTGCAAAACCAGGGCAGGAAAAGCAGGATCACGCCCCATCCTGTGGGGATAAATAATTCCATTTAAAACCACTACAAGATGCTGCAGGAATGAGGGCTGGAATAGCTGCTCTACATCATCCCCTCCGTGGCTATTGAGCCTGAAAAAGCCTTTGTGCTTCCTGACCAAGAAATTACTTTTTATTCAGGAAAAACTTCATCCAGCAAATGGGCTCATCATCATCATCATCATCATCATCATTAACAATAGCCGCGAGCAGAGGCAAAACTTTGCCTGAACACTCCCCTAAATCGGGAGCTGCTCGTGTCCCATTGTCCAAAATGTTCCTTTTTTTACCCAAAACTTGCCTGCCCGGAGCCAGACAATGGATTTGATTTGTTTGGCTGGAACTTGAAGGTCCTTCCTTCCTTCCTTTGCCATTCCTGGCTTTTGGCACCTGCTGAGGGCTAATTAGGACAATGCTAATTTGGCCATCTCCTGATTGCAGCGAGAGGAGAAAACAGGAAATGTTCTCGTTTTGCTGCTGGCAAATGACTGAAATAGAAATCCTGGAATATCCATTCCCGGGAATGCAGGGGAGAGGAGCAGCTCCTGGTGCTCATCCACGGGGATGTTGTGCCCTCTGCAGGGATTTGGGCTCCACACAGCCCTGCCCTTTGCTCCAGGCTTTTCCCCTGGGCTGTTGGGATGGATAAATCCCGATGTTGGTGGAGTCAGGATTATCCACAGCTCCTAAAAATCAGGATAAACTCCTCCGAGCTGCGAGTCCAGCCCATCTAGCAAAGCTGAGGCTCTCGGGATGGCAAAAAGTGAGAATTTGGGAAGTCAGAGAGGTGGTTTTTGAATTTTTTTTTTTTTTGTAGGAATTGTTCCTTCAGGGGGAATGTGAGCAAATGAAGGTGAAAAGCATCCAAAGGGAGGCTCCTCCAGGCAGGATTTTATCCAGAATTCTCGGGGAGGACGTCGGCGCTGGGAAATGCACAGCCGAGATTGTTCATGCCTGAGCTCTGTTTGCCTCCTGTTTTCCGGGGATTTCAACAGAAAAATATCAAACCTGAGGGGGCTGGATGGGATTGGACATTTCCCATAAATAGCAGCTCTCGTGTGTTAATTGATGACGAATTTTAGAAGTTTCGTGTAGGTGAGGTGCCTCCTGCAAATCACATTTTTGTCCAAATTCCAGTTTGCCACCCAAACTGTTTACAAAACGTCAGCTCTCATTTCTGACTAATTGATGAAGGGCTGGGGCTGAAAATGCAAATAAAAACGGGAGATGGAGCCCCCAAACCTCCTGCCGTGCTGGCAGCACTTTCCAGTCGTGTCCAACCCCCATCTCCAGCAGATTTCCAGGAGAGCAGCTCAACTCCCGAGTTTAAAAACCATTTTTTTTCTGTTAAAAACCACAGTATAAACCCACTTTTATGGGATTTCTGGAGATTCTGAAAGGAGAAACCTGCCCAGTTCCCAGCTGCTGCCCTTAACACGAACCCTTCTTTTTAATCTTCTGCCAACACCCTTCTCTGACAAAATTTGCTGCCTCAAATGCAAAAATTCATCTCTTTCCGTGCCCTTCTACATAAATTTGCTAATATTTACTCATGTCCACGTTGAAATTGCACATTTTTATTTCGTTGTCCATTCTGTCCTGTGTGTCCACCCATCTTCATCCTCACCTCGTTCATTTTTGAACCCCTCTGAAGGTTCTGAGTCAAGGAATCCCTCACCCAAATGAGTCCTTTTAGTTCCAAAAAGAGATATAAGCATCACCAAAATGTGGCTCAGAGAGTTTAAAAAGTGATTAAATCCTCTGGAGGTGCTCAGCTCCCTCTCTGGAGGCAGCTCCTGGTGACCAAGCTCCTTTGGCTGAACTCTCCCAGCTAAATCTGGGGGGGAAAAATGGAAAATAACTGGGCCTGGACAGCTCAAAAAGAAAAGAAACCTCTCCTGCTTTCCAGCCAGGCAAAATAAATTTAAGTCCCTTTTCTATTGAGAAAGAGCAGATGAATTCAGCCAAAATGTGGCAGCCAGACAGGATTTTTTGGATTGCCCAGGAAATGCTGCTTCTTAGTGGCATCTTCCCCTCCTTGCATGAACTTTTGGGTTTTAAATTGCATTTTTGGCTCTTTTTGGGGCAGGGTGTCCCCTCAGCCTGGCCCAGCTGCTTTTTAACCCTTGGCAGCACGAGCTCAGCATGGAAAAATCACCATGGGAGGAGGGAAAAACCATCCAAAAAATCCACCTGGCACCAGGGCAGAGGAGCCCAATCAGCCCCTGTGGCTTCCAGATGTTTCCTGCTGTGTCCAGGGATATTCCCATATTATTTCCCATCAAAGAAATGATTCCTCACAGTGCAGGATTGGCACCTGGGAAGGTGCTGGCACACTCCAGGATTTCGGCCGTGGCATCAAGGCTGTGTCTCCAACATTCCCCCCTCACCAGCAGGCTGGGAATGGGAAAGATTTTAGGAAAGATTTTAGGAATGGCATATCCAGGACAGCTGTCCCAGACTGATATTCCATATTTTTGATGTCTGCTCCACAATAAAAGGGGTTTTTTTTCCCCATCATTTTTCCTCCCTCTGTCCTCTGAGGATGGAACAGCTTGATGGGCACCTGGATCCAGGCAAGGTCAGCTCCCTCTGGCAGCAGCAGGAAAAATTATGGAGGAGAAAAGCTGGGAATAAAATGTGGGAAAAAGGAGTTGGGAAAAGCTGGGTGTCCAACAGAGATCAGGGATGTTCCACCCTATCAGCATCTTCTTGATCAGGGGGTGGTTGGAGTAAAAAAAAAAAAAAACAACAAAAAAAACCCAACATCAATAAAAACCAGGAGGTGTTGGAAGCCTGGGAAAGAGTGGGGATGGAATTCCAAGGGATCCATGCAGTGCTGGGGCTCTGGGATTCATGGATCTTGTGCAGAGAGGATTCCCCATCCCTGGAATTGTCCCAGGCCAGGCTGGATGGGGCTGGCAGCACCCTGGGACAGTGGCAGCTGTCCCTGCCCGTGGATGGGGTGGGTCTGGATGGGTTTTAAGGTCCCTTCCAACCCAAACCACTCCAAGATTCCTCGGACCAAAAGGTGAGGAGAGCTGGAATCGTGGATTAGGCTCGTGGTGGGAAAACTCTTGACCCTGGAAAAGCAGGGAGAGCAGGATTGAGTTTGCAGCTTGTCAGAGCATCCCAAAATCCTCCCCCCCCAGCACTGACTCCACGAACAATTGGGATTTTGAGGGCAGGGGACAATAAGGATCACAAACCAGAGAGGTGGCTCTGTGTAATTCCATGGGGACACTCCCAAAAATGCCTCGGAGGTGTGGAAATCTGAAGGGCCACGATCAGGCTGGAAAAGATTGAAGAGAGCAAAGAGTGGAGGTGGAGAGAGCTGAGCTGAGAGGGGAAATAACGGGGAGTAATGGGCTGAAATGGAGGAAAATAAAACACGAGCTCAGTATCAGGAGGGTTGTTTTTTTTTTTTTATCCAAGAGTTGGATTTGTTGAAGTGTGAAATAGACTCCCAAGGGAAGGAGAGCATTTCTGCAGCCATTTAAATGTGCAGAGGACAAAGCCCTGGCTGATGAATTCCCTGGAACAGTTGTCTTGCCTTGGCACAGCAATGCCCAGATATCATCAAATCCCCTTTTTCCATCTCAGATTTCAGAGATGCTGGTGGAGCTCTTTTATCCCCCCCCAAGTTTCAACAAGGGGGGAAAAAATAAAATACTTTTTTTTTTTTTTTAGTTTGTTTTTTTTTTCCCCCCACTGAGTGGAAAAACACCAACTCCCTCCCAGCAGCAGAAGGCCAAACAGGAATGTTGACACCCAGGTCTTGTGTGGCTGGAAACAAAACTCAGCCTTTTGTGTGTGACAGATTGAAGGTGGAACTCGAAGGGAAGGGGAAATTTGTTTGTGAGTGCGAGTGACAAATCCTTTTTCACGAATCCTGTGCGGTTCCTGAGCTGAGTTTGTTTTCCTGGTGGATGGGGAAAGGGTGGGAAGAGAAATGAGCTGTTCTCTTCAGGATGGATTCAGAGCTGGCTCCTGTCTCCGTGCCTTTCTCACTGATTTCCTTTGCAAAACACAGATGCTCGGGGTGTTGTTGTTGTTTTTATTTCTGTTTATTCCCCAAATCAGCCCAGCATTCCAGCCTGGATCTGGGAAAATGAGGCTGGAATGGCTCTGCCAGGTCCATGTCAGGGGGTGCTGGGTGTGGGGTGTCTCTGGTGGTTCTTTCTCTCCATTCCAACCTGGAGCCAGGCTGGGAGAGCTGGGAATGTTCCCCTGGAGAAAAGAAAATTCCAGGGAGAGCTTCCAGAACATTCCAGGGCCTGGAGGGGCTCCAGGAGAGCTGGAGAGGGACTGGGGACAAGGGACAGAGGGACAGGACACAGGGATGGATGGGATCTTGGGAATGAGGAATTGCTGGCTGGGCTGGGATTGCCAGAGAATCCCTGGAATGTCCAAGGCCAGGCTGGACACTGGGGTTTGGATCCCCTGGGACAGTGGGAGGTGTCCCTGCCATGGCAGGGGTGGAAATTGAGAATATTTAAGGTCCTGGATTGACCCCTCCAAGCACAGCATCCCTTTGATCTCCTGAATTTCCCAGTCAGGAATTCAGATGAGTTATCCTGCCAAAAATATGAAACAGGGAAATTCTTCCCAATTGGAACACGCTGCAATCCCTGACTCAGTTTCCCACGTAGGAATTTGCTGGAATCTCCATCAGGAAATGCTTTGAGTTATTTGAAAAGAAGATCCTGGACCCTTCATTCCCCTTGCAGTGACTCCAGCATGGGCAGGGCTGAGATTCCAGAGGAAAATGATCCATGGAGACACCAGTGCAGGGTGATCTCCTCCAGCTGGGTGCCAAATTGAATTCCCAGGGTTGGAGAATTTAGGAAAGTGACCCTTTTCCCCTTAAAAGATGTCTCCAAGTCCATCAGGAGTTGTGTGGTTAAGGGAATTTCCTACCCTGTCCTTTCCATGTGAGCTCTGTGTGGAATTCCACTCTGGATCCTTTCCTCATGGCTTAATCCCCATTCGTGTGACAGAGAATTCAATGACTAACACGGAATTAAATTTAAAAAGCACGTTTTGCTCCCCTCTGAGGTTGGTTTTTTGCTGCTTTCCCTGCAGGACCATCGTGCAGTCGGATGAGAAGCTGGTGATCAGTGCATCCTGGGCCAAGGATGATGATATCAGCAGGCTCCTGAAATCCCTGCCCAACTGGAGCAACATGGCTCAGCCCAAGCAGCTGAGGCCCAAGAGGGAGGAGGAGGAGGATTTTATAAGGTAAAACACTGCGGGGACTTGGGAAAGGGTTTCAAGGAGAGCAGCAGCAAAAATTAGGAAAGGGTTTGTGATGTTTTTTTGTAGCTGTCGAGTCCCCAGGTGGGAGGAGAATCGTGGAAACATTTGGGAAATGGGAAAAACTTTGGAGATCATCGAGTCCAAGCATTCCCAGCCCTGCCAAGGCCACCACTGACCGTGTCCCCAAGTGCCACATCCACATGGATTTAAATCCCTGACTCCACCACTGTCCTGGGCAGCTCTTTTGAGGGGAAGAAATCTTCCCAATATCCAACCTCAGCTTTTCCTGGTGCAATCCCTGTTCACTCTGTTGTTCAAACGAAGCCATTTGGGGAATTGTCCTTGTGATCCAAGTCAGGGAAGTGCCTGGGGTCGGGGGAGGAAAGGATTGTTTGGAATCCAGGCAAATCCTCGTCCTGCTGGTTGGTGCTGCCCTGATCACCCACGTGATGAAAGGAGCAGAATTTTCTGGTTGTACTGGGCAGGAATCCCCAAAATTAGTGTTGTCAAAGGAATCTTTAATTTGAGCCATGACCTGGTGGAGTTTCCCCCTCCATCCCAACTCCAGCAACTAACTCAGGAGAGAAAAATGAAAAATTCCAGTACTTCCAGCAGGAATTCTTTTGGAGACAACTCTCTGTGCCCAAACCAGGTTGTTGCTACCTTTCATGGCAGTGAAAGCCTGGGAGGAGGCAAATTCCCTTTCCCTTCGTGCTGGGAATGGCTCAGCTCCTGTGAGATTCCAAAGCCTGCACCTTCCCATCCCTATTCATCACTTCCTTGATTGGCACTTGGCTTTAAAATGGAGGAGGAGGAGGAGGAGGAGAAGCTGTTGAAAATAACAAGTTTAATTTGCCCAGATTGTCATTTTCCTCCTTCCCTGCCTGGAAGGGATGCAGCCTGCACAGGGTGGGATTTGTGGGGGTCACAGAAAGGTTTTCAGCTTGGATTTAAAACATCCCCAGTGGAGCAGGGAGAGGCTGCAGAGCCCTTGAGGTGTCTGGGCAGTCCCCGAGTTGAATTTCATGGGTTCAGTCCTGGCCTGCTTTCACATTTATCCTTCATTTCCTCACCTGGGAAGCTCCTGCTGGCTCTCCCTGTGATTCCTGATCCATCACATTGGGACAGCAAAGCTCCAATGGGCTCTGCTGGCTGAGTGGGAATTCCTGGCCAGGCAAAAAAAAAAAAAAAAAAAAAAAAGGATGGCTGAGCTCAGCCTGATGCTGACAGAGCCAACATTTTCATCCTAATATGCATTTTATTCCATTTATTCCATTCTCTTGGCCATTAACCGAAATATTTTGTGACACTGGATCAGAGGAGCTCCAATGGAAAGCCTTTAGGAAAAGCCTATTAAGTCATCCCCACAGAATTTCCCGGGAAAAGCTCCCGTGCCCTGGCTTTTTTCAGCCCAGGATTTAGGACAAAGATCTTTTCTCAGCATCTGTTTGCACAGAGCATCACCTATTTAATCCCCAGTTCCTCCCAGTGCTGTGTGAACTGCTCCTGGAGCATTAATTTAAATCACAATAATTGGTCTGGGCCAGATTTAGCCATTGATGGCTTAGAAACTTCCTCCAGGATGGGTGGTGGTTGAATAGATCCCTCCTGAAAGCTTCAAAATCAAACTAATTGCTCGTCCAATTTTTTTTTTTTTTTGTCATCCTCTTCCCATTTCAGCAGCCTTTCCTCAGCCTTTTCTCCTAATACAAAGGAACATGATTTCTTCACTGCTGCTGCTGCTTCTTTCTCTTGGCACTGCTGATGAGTTGGGAATAATTCTGCCCGGACACTGCAGTGGAGCCAGAGGGAAGTGGGTGCTGTGGATTGCTTGGTTAGCAGGGAATGGGAGAGCTCATTTCATTTCACCCCTGAGATATTTAAAATTTCAATATTTGGTGTTCATGGGCCTTCATTCTTGGCTAGCAGGGCAGGACTGCACATCCCTTCCTGGAAAAGAAGTTTCAAGCCTGATGAAATTTGGGAAAATGTTCTTTTTGGACATGGAGCTACTCAGCAGCATCCCTTTTATGAGTCTTGGTAAATTAAACAAATCCTGAAAGTTCTCCACCAGTTTTTGTCCCGTGGCAGCAGAAGAGATCCATGCAAAGTTTTCCTTCCCTCCCCGACTTTCCTGTAACTCATTTGTTCAACTAAAAAGAATCCAAACAAAAAAAAAAATTGCAAAAAAAAATTAATAATAATCCTCTGCCTGTGGACAGAGATTGATTTTGCTGTCTCCTGAGTGGGGAGATGTCAGGAGGCTCCAACAGAATTTCCCATAAATATTCCAGCAGGGTTGGGCAGCCAGAGGAACCTGCTGGAGCATTTTAGAGGAGCCCAGAGCTTGGCAAGGGGAGGAAGGGAAGCAAAGCCCCAGCTCTGCTGCTGGAATTGGTTTTTGGAGCTCTGGAGGATGTTTGGCACAGTTTGGGGTGGGTGTGAAACACCCTGATCTCTGCAGAAAGGGGATCCTGCAGAGGTGCTGGTCATAAACCCCAAAAATGTTCCCAGCTCAGCCTTGGAGGGGGAAAAGCAGAGGGAAAAGAGTTTGGATGTGGTGGTGCAGAAATTCCTGGGCTTTGGAGCAGCTCTGTGTGCCCCAGGCTGTGGGAAGCTCAGGAGGTGTTTGGGATTCACATTCCAGGGTGGGATAAAGGACACTGGGATGCCTGGAGGGGATGCCTGGGACAGAGTTAAAGGAATAAAGTGGGGATTTATTAAAAACCCTTCAAAGGATTCACCTTGGGCAGTACAAGAGCCCGGCCATGGTTACACCCAAGATGGATCCCAGGTCACGAATTTTCACACTTTTATAAGTTTTGGTTCATTTCCATATTGGGGTTCATTGTCCAATTCCAGCTCCAGGTTCTGCAGTCCCATCCTCCCACATTGCTCTCCTCAGTTCACTGTTGTTTGCACTTTTTGTATAAATTACACTTTTTATACCCAAAGCTGCAGTGGTGTCCTTGGTCCTGGGGCTGGAAAAGGATTGTTTTGTGTGACTGAGCTGTGAGGAGAACTTGCTAATTTCTAAGAAATTCAGAGTTATATATTAATGCAGTACAGAATCTGGAAAATTGGAAAGCTAAAAACATCAACTGCTCCATGAAAATAATTCTGGCTGTAGATCTGAGCTCCAAACCTGAGCTCTGGGGGTTTTCCTCTCACTTTCAGCTCCCAACAAACTCCTGATTGCTGAACTCAGGATCAGGTTCTTGGGCTAAATTTAACGGAGCAATTAAAAAACCCTTCCCAGCATTTCCAGGTGGCACAGGAAGGGTCTGGAGAACCAGGAATGGCTGAGGGAGCTGGGAATGGAGAACCAGGAATGGCTGAGGGAG